GATAATAATAGAATCTGAAGTTTGGAATCAATCACTGGCAGGAAAGGATTTACTAGAAAGCTTAAAAAAAAAAATTTTTTTTTTTGTAAAACCTAAGCAAAATCATCAATCAAATTTTAGCTTTCGAAAACTTTTCTACTCTTGTTCTCCCCCCTCCCCCCCCCAAAAAAAAAAAAAAACTTTGCGTAATAGTAAATTCATTATTTTCCCTTTTATTATTATTATTGAATGAATGAATGAATGAATGAATGAATGAATTTTTTTTCGTAGCAAAGCTAAAAAGAAAAAGTTTCTTATAAAAATGGTTCGTTAGTATAATAAAACAATTTACATTAATTTAAGAAAAAAAAATAATAATAATAATTTGGATGATGATTGCGGCAATGATGATGATGATGATGATTAAGTTGAGAAAAAATTATTTTTATTTGAAAAAGAAAAATAAATTTAATTTAAATTTAAAGTGAGAAAAACTTTTTTTTTTTTATTCTCACATTTAAGAAATGGCCTTTTTCTCTTTTCCTCTCCCTCCTCCCTCTCCCATCAAAAAAAAATAAGAAAGTTAAATGGGTATCATTTGCAATATGGCGGAAAATTTTTTTTTTTTAAGGTTTTCGAAAAATTAGTAAAAGTCGAAGAAGGAAAAAAAAAACTTAAGGGAACCAGTGAGGCAAATAACAGTAAAAGTAATTTAAGACATATGGTGCGGAAAATTAAATTTTCTGATAAAATGTCATTTCCCGATTTTTTTTTACAAAAAGTAACAATTTTTATTTTGTACAGATTTTTATTAAAAAAAAAAAACAGGAAAAAAAGGGAAAAAAAGGGAAAAAAGAGGAAAAAAGCGGTAAAATCCGACATTGTTGTAAACTTAAAAAAAATTCACGTAATAAATAATTCAAAAACTTTTTACACACACATATACAAAAATTGAAATAAATTCATTCACACGTACTTTATTTTATTTTTTTTGTTGTTGTTGCAAAGTCAAAATGTTTTCCGATAGAAATAATAACGTTTTTTCCTTTTTAAACCCACACCCCCCCACTTCCTCTCCCTTCCCCACACACCCACACACACACGCCCACACCCATTTATATATAAAAATAAATTTTTTTTTCCATGTTTTTAAAAAAAAAAAAAAAAAAAAGATGGCGCCGAAAACGAAACTCAGATTAATTAACAGGTAATTAATGACCGTGAATTCTTTTTTTTTTTTTTTTGTTATCTAAAGTCCGTTATATAAATTTTACGGGATTAAATTTTTATTATTATTATTATTATTACTATAAACGAATTATATAAAAATTTATTTGGATATTTATATACTGTATATATATATATATATATATATATGCACATGGTGTGCAAATAATAAATTAGCTCCAGTTTGACTCGGATTTCCAACCTAAAAAAACGAGGGGGAGGGGAGAGAAAGAGAGAGAGAGTCAAACAAATTTTATTTTCTGTCTCTCTTTTTCCCTTTTTCTCTCTCTCTCTCTCTTTTTCCTTTCATAATCATTTTTACCCGGTCGGATAATTTTGTTTTTTAGGATTAACCCAAATTTAATAATAATAATAATAATAATAATAATAATAATAATAATAATAATAATAATAATAATAATAATAATAATAATAATAATAACAAAAAAAGAAAAAAAATTGCGGTTGAAACAAAAAGGGGTGGGGTGGGGGTGGGGGTGGGGGTGGGTTTTTCGTTTGCGAGAAAAAGGACGACAAAATTCATTTTTTTTTTTTTTTTAATATGTAAAAGTATAAAAAAAAATATTAATGTGAATCCCAGCTTTGATAAATTTATACATTGGCGGTTTTATTATTAAAAAAAAAAAATAATAATAATAATATTAATAATAATAATAATATTTTGTTTTTTTTTTTAATATGTCAACAATCGTAATTTGTACGATAAATCAAAGAAACAACACAAACAAACAAGGATCTCAACCGTTAATTATTATTATTATTTATTTTCCGTTTATAAGAATGATAAAATGTAATTTTATCCGGTTATCATAATAATAATAATAATAATAATAATAATAATAATAATAATAATAATAATAATAATAATAATAATAATTTTTATTGTTTAAACAAATTGAAATTAATTTAAAATTTTAATTTTTTTTTTTTTTTTTTACATTCACTCAATTAAAGTTTATAAATTCAACAATAAACTAATTAAGTTTTTTTTTTTTTTTAAATAATAATAATAATAATGACGATCATGATGATGATGATGATGATGATGATGATTTCCCGAATATTTAAAAATTACTGATTTTTTATATCGAGTTAAACACAAATATGTACATAAATATAGATGAAAACATGAAAAAAAAAAATTTTTTTTTTTAATAAACTCAAGTTTTGAGTTTATATTTTATTATTATTATTATTATTTGTAATAATGAAACAATTTTGTTTTTTTTTTATTATAATTAATTTCTTTTTCGTAATAAAGTAAATATTTAATTTATTTTCGTTTGCTCGCACGTTCCAAATATAAAAATTATTAAAAAACATAATATGTTTTATGTTTTGTTTTTGTAAATGTATGTATATTCACAGTCGAATAAAGAAAATTATTATTAATTTTTCATGTTTTTTTTTTCCTCGACGTTTTTAATTTGAAAAAAAAAAAAATGTTTTCGTTTTTGTAAATAAATAAATAAATAAATAAATAATAATAATAATAATAATAATAATAATAATAATAATAATAATAATAATAATAATAATAACAGTTTTTTTTATCCTTCCCACGTTATTTTCATGTTTATGGTAATATTTTTTTACTTGTTTTAATATAAATAAATAAATCAATTTTATTAAATTTCCCGTCAGTTTCCTTTCAAAATCTCATTCAGATAAAATCTTTTAAAATTTTTTGTTTGTTTGTTTAAATAACCGATAGTAATTTGTGTCATCGATTCTTCTACCATTTTAAAAACATTTTTATCTCACGTTTAATAATGTTTTAATCTACAAAAATTAATTTAAATAATAATAATTGTTATACGTGATTAAAAAATGATTCCTTCGTATTATGTAATAGATATCAATTTTTGTTTTAAATAACGATTAATAATGATAATAATATAATAATTAAAGGGGATTTGATTTTTTTGGTAAAATCACACAAAAAATTACACCGAGGTTACTTTTCGAACGTTAATAATTAAAATTCCAAGGTTAATAAAATGAATGAATGAAAAAAAAAAATTTAAATCAAATCATATTAAACGTCTTAAAAATAAATAATAAAATAATGATAATAAATTTACTTACAATCATTTTGTGTTGTGTAAATTAATAATGTGTATTTAACAAGAAATCCATATATCATTCGTAATCGAATCTCTCGTTTTTACATCAATTTATTATCCGTTTTCTAAAGAACAAAAAAAAAAAAAAAAGAAAAGAAAAACAAATGAAAAAATAAATAATTTTATAAATAATAATAATAATAAAAAATTAATAATAATAATAATAATAATTTTTGCATTGCTTAGACGACCCCGAATAACAAATATAAATGCCAAGTGAATTCGATGTAGAGAGATGCAAACAAAAACGCTGGGAAAGCGTTACTAACGGACCAAAAAGAGACACTGGGACTGGATTCTGGAGTGATCTGAAATGAGGAGAGAGAGAGAGAGAAAAGAGGTAAATGAGGTAGCGGGGAAAAAGAGAAAGGAAGAGAGAGAGAGATGGAAAATAAGAGAAAAAAGGGTTCAGGCATTCGCTTTTAAAATATAACAGATGAGTTTTCCGCTTCAAAAAATTTTATTTATGGATAAATATAAATACGTGGGGAAATTTCTTTTTCTTTTTTTTTTTTTTTTTTTGTTACGGTGATTTCATTGACTTCCGACAGTTCAAAGTCTAAAACCTGTCACACGATTATTTTTATTTTTATTTAATGTCATATATATATATTTTTATCCATGAAAATTATTTTACTTTATTAAATTATTAAATTTTAAATCCATAAATAAAAGGATTTATGAAATAAAGGGGGAGGAGGGTGAAAGAATGTAAAAACAATAAAAATAAAATAAAAGGGCGTGTGTAATTGTTCGAATTTTTGATTTTCCTAAAACATTTTCATGAAAAACATAATTTCTAAATAAAATTTTACCCTTATAAAAAAAAGGCTGAACATTTAAAACTAAATTAACTTTTAAAATCTCATTATTATTTTTTTATGTAATTATCTATTTTTTAAAAATAACCGTTTTAATTAAATATTCTGAAATTAAATACACTGGAGACCTTTTTTTTTTCTTTTAGTGTGACTGTAATATTATAAAAATTAATAATAAATGAATACAATTTTCCTAAAAAATAAAAAAAAAAATTAAAAGATTAAAGAAAAATTAAAAATTGAATTTGAATTAAAAAATAAAGTTTATAAATAAAATGTTAATATTAAGAAATGTCAAGATTAGATTAAATTAAGAATATAAAATATATATATATGTATATATACAGAGGATTAAAATTACATTTAAAACTAAATTAAAAGAATTTCAATTTTGAATTTAAAAAATTCATTACAAGTGTCGTTTTACAGTTATTAATTATAACATTCACTATTAGAACAATTTTTTTTTTTTTATTAGTTAATAATTAATAATAAAAAATAAATTATTAATTGAAAATTTTGAAAAAACCCTTTGCTTGACTTTTTAATATGTTTATTAATATTCAAATGATTTAAAAATCAGTATATTATTTTTTAAAATATGTTATACATTATGAACACATAAATAATAAAGTTAATAATTAATTAAAGGTTATAAAATATTGAGGTTAAAATTATTTATTTAATATGCACTTGAAATTTTCAGTCATTACAACAACGACGCCAAAAACGGTTTTTAATGCCACGTCATTTCGCGCTCTTTCGTTATTTACTCTATGACCAATGAAGAGCATTTTTAATATACATATATATACCCTATACAATTATGAAAAATAGAAAAAATTCGGTAAAATCACTTTTATCCCTTAATCCTTCAACTTGTAAGTATGAAAAAAAATTTTTTTTTTTTTAAATTATTATTAAAAAGTATTATTATGTTTAAATAATAATTTCAATTAGTTTTAGATTCGAATTGGTCTGATTCACCGAGGTTGTCACAACAACTCTTAGCTTACTATAAATCCAAATCATTAAAGTTAGAAAAGGATTATGATGATCTCCTTAAAATTATTCAAGAAGTTAAACAAGTTTGTGATTTAACAAATGAACTTCAGTTGGAATTGAACTTGAGAACAGAAGAGGTTTCTAAACTTCAACAATTAATTGGTGATTTACAGGTATAAATAAATTGTTTTCATTTACTAATCTGATTTTGAATAAGTAAATTTTTATAAGTTTCAAAAAAAATTTTTTTTTTTTTATGTATAATTGTACAGGTACAACTCTTTAGGGAAAGAGAAGAAAATATAAGAATTAGTGCTGAAAATGATAATTTAAAAATACAAAATTTTGAAAATCAAAAAAAAATCAATATGCTTATGATGATCAATGGGATTACCGATAAAAAATACTATCATTTTATGACAAACGATTTTCAGGTAATGGTCAGTTTTAATCATAAAAATTTTTTGGTTGTACATTAATAAGTTATAACGAAATGTGTGTTCTTGCACTTTCAAAAAAGTAACTGAATTACATGATATGACAAATATAAAAATAAATAAGTTGAAATTAAGACAATAATGAATACAAATACATTTTATTAACCATGTGTTTGTTTTATTTTCCCTGTGTTAGGACAAGTTGGTATCGTCAAAGCTTCCCCCAAAGTTACAGAAATTAAAGGAGGAAAGGTATAAAAATTTAATAGAGGCTCTAGATAATCAAAATAAAACATCAGGAACAGGTGATTCTCAATTATCTGCTTTAAATGTAATAATTATTATGATTATTTTTACAAAATAACTTTTAACAAAAAAAAATTTACGCGATTTTTAAATTTCTAGAATGAATCGCAAGAATTTTATTTAAATAATCATGTGAAAATTTTAAAAGAAGAAGTTGAAGTTTTATTAAAGGAAAAAGACCTTCTCAATGAAGAGAGAAAAATTGAAAGACAAAGATTGCAAAAAGAACTTGATTTACTAGGTTCCAAATTTAAAGAGGTATGTTAAGAAGTTTTTTTTGCTTAAATTATGCGATAAACTCAATGAATACAAAGCAATTTAATGACTTCCTAAACTAACCAATTTTTTATTTTATTTTAGAGTCAAGATTTACTGTGTACAACAACTGAAAAATTAGTTTATTTAAAAAAAAAAAATGAAAAAAACGAAAGTGTTTGGATGGAAGAAAAAAATAAATGTTTAAAAATTATTCATTCGTTAAAACTCAGATTGGGAGATGAAATAACAGATATTTGGAGTTCTGAAAATTCTCATACCAGGCAAAGTCATAACCATAGTTTAATATGAGTAATTGTTAATAATAAATTAATTTGTGTTAATTATTGAATATTTAATAGATATCAAGATTCGAATGAAGGTTTAAAAGAAAAACAGATAGAAAAAAAACTGGCAGAACAATATCAGCAAAAAATAGTCGCACTAGAAAGTGAGGTCAATTCACTAAGAGAAAGAGCAAACACATGTCGTCAAATTTTTAGAGATAAAACAGAAAAAGTAAGTATCCTTTAATATGCTTAAATTTTTACTTTATCTCAATGTTATTTTAAAAATTCTAGATGACAGCACAAGTGGCATATCTTAAAAATAAATATGACGATTTGGATAGAAGAAGACTTTTGGAAGCTGAAGGTTTTCGAACAGACATTAAAATGTTGAATAAAAGACTACAAGAATTGGAAAAAAAATTAGTAAAGGTTGGTAGGTTTGATTTGTATTACTATTATATGAGTATGTTCTAAATTGTGTGAATTTTTTAGTCTGCTACTGAAATTCAAAAAAATGAGCAACAGCAACTTTTAGTAAGTGCAAGAAACACATTGTACAGAGCGAAACAATTGGAAAAGGAATTAGAATCTGTGAAAACTAAATTGTATTCACTTGAATCCAATCCAGAACAAAATTTATACTATTAAATGTGACTGACAATTACGACAGAATGACTTCAATCATCGACATTATTTAATGAAATACATACTCACACATGCATATGTGTGTGTAAAACAAATTTTGTGCTTTTATTTTTTTACAATTTAAAATTATTTTTTTATAATTATATTTATCATAAAAATAAAATTTTGTAAAAAAAAATAAATGACTTTTTTTTTACTTTTTCTATTCCTTAACTTTAAAAAAATGGTTGACATTTACTTTTGAAAAAGTAAATGTCATGTACTGGACCATAAAAATTTTATCAGAGATGAATAATTTTCCCTCAACTATTCAATATTTTATATTGATTTTTAATCAATTAATCACGTTAATGCAATAAAAAACTAGAAATTAATTTCATTAAATTAAAAGTAATATTACTATTTTAAGTTTGAATTGCACAAAATTTGAATTCATGAAATTATTATATTATGTAATCTATCTCTAAAAAATTATGCGAAAATGTTTAATATAAAATTTTGACCATTAAATAAACTTAAACGAAATCCCATTAAAATAAAATAAAGAGTAAATTTAAAATTATTACTTACAATTTTTTTTCAAATTTTATTGGGTGCCATGATGAAATTTTTGCACTTTGTCAGTTGGCCTACGCACACTTTTAAAAAATTTTTTACATTTACACCGACATTATTTAAGAAAAGCACAATTAATATTAATTCTGATGTTTTATCGTAATTATTCGACTACATAACACTTTTAGATATTCAAACTTTTTTTTTTTTTTTTAATAAAAACTGAAAAAAAAAACTGGCTACACGAAATCTTAACTAACTTCGAAGAACCGCGAAAACCGACTAAGACGTACCAATTATTTAATTTTGTTATGTTGCATGCCTGCATCAGATTTACCGACACTTTAAAATAAAAATGTGTAATTCTTAAATAACTGAAAATGGGAGAATTTAAAAAATTAAATTATCATATTTTTGGAAAAAAAGGAACAAAAAGCACACCCGACGTACTTTATTGGAAAAAACTAGGAGTAAGTTATTTAATGGTTTTTTATTAATTTTATAAAATTACATGTGCCCATTTATTAAAACATAACCTTCAATTTAATCTTGTTTTTATTTTTATTTTTTATTTTTTAAATGGGTTTTTTTATAGTTTTGTAATAAACTTTTTATTTTTCTATAGGTTCCAGCTTTTTTAAAAGAATTTGGCCCTGTAGATTATATTGATTTTTCACCAGTCGAACCACATTATTTCGCAGTTACCTCTTCTGTACGTGTTCAAGTATATAATCCAATAACTAGACTTTTACATAAAAATCTAAGTAGGTTTGAAAAAAGTGCGTTTGGAGGTTCGTTCAGAAAAGATGGGAAGTTATTATGTGCTGGAGGAGAAGAAAATGTTGTTAAATTATTCGACGTTTCGTCCAAATCATTATTAAGAATTTTCAGGGGACACAAAAAGTATATAAGAATTAATATGCGAATTGCACACATTTTTAAATTATTATTTTAATTAAATGTACTTTTTCTTTAATTTTTTCAAAGCCCAGTTCATCGAACATTTTTTACAACTGACAATACACATATAGTTAGTTTTTCCGATGATCAGTCGGTTACTATCTGGGATATACCGAGTGAAAAAGAATTAGTAAAATATTCTGAACACAGTGTGAGTATCAATTTTTTAAATTGTTTTACACCTAAAGAATAAAAAATTAAATATTTCAATTTAAAAACAAATAAATAAATAATTTATATTTAAATTTAAGGATTATGTGAGAGCAGGGGCTGTATCACCAATATCTCCAGATGTTGTTTTATCTGGTGGATATGATGGCTACATTAAAATGTATGACAAAAGACAAGAATCTATTATATTTAATTTAAATCATGGTTTTCCCGTAGAAAGTGTTATTTTTCTACCTACTGGTGGAATTTTTATATCATCAGGTGATTATAAAATTAATTTGAAATTATATAAAAAAAAGAAATTTAATTTGAATCAATTTGTGTAAAAAATAAATAAATAATCCAAATTTGGAGTAAATTTTTTCTCAACTTTTATAGGTGGAACGGAAATAAAAGTTTGGGATGCTTTTTGTGGAGGACGTTTGCTAGCTCGATTACATCATCATCATAAAACAGTGACTTGTTTATGTTTGGCATCGAAAGGAACTCGTCTTTTGTCTGGTGGTTTGGATAGGCATGTTAACATTTTTGATGTTTCAACATTTCAAAAAGTTCATTCTTTAGATTATCCTAATTCGATTTTAAGTTTGGGAATAAGCGTGAGTTACATTTAAACTTTTTTCTTATCATTTAACTTTAAACTTAATTTTAAAAAAATTTTTTTCCCCCGTTTTCCTTTTTAGAAAAATGACGAAACCATTGCGGTGGGAATGGTTGATGGTTTAGTTTCCGTATCCAGAAGGGAAACGGAAGTCAAATCCACGAATTTTCAAAAACGCCAGAAAAAATATAAATATACTTTAGATAATAAAATAGATAATATGAACATAACTAAACACACGGAAAAATTATCCAAATATGATACGCATTTAAAAAAATTTGAACATACGAAAGCGTTAAATGTCGTTTTGGCACCTTACGTCGTGAATAAAACTCCAGAGATTACGGTTGCAGTCCTTAAGGAATTACTTTACAGGAGAGTTCTTCACGCTGCCGTCGGAGGCTTCGAGAGTAAAACGATGATTCCCCTTTTGCGGTTTATAAATAAAAATATTGGAGATCAAAGATTTACCAAAGTACTCGTTGAAACGTTAAATGTTTTCCTAGGTAATTTCTTGAAAGAATTTCAATTACTCTAACTGTCTTATGTTTATCTTATCTATTTCAATTTCTTTTTTAGATGTTTACGAAGACGACGTTGGTCAATGCAAACCCACCGTCGCAACGTTGTTATTGAAATTGAACAAAAGAGTAACGGAAGAAATCGATCTCACGCAATCTTTGCTATGTTTAAAAGGCTGCATTCGTTTAATGAATTTTGCAGCCACGACAGATAGTGCCACGATTAATTTTGATATGCCTCCATCGATAAAACCATCCGAGAGTGCCAGAGATTTTGTTGTTAACGTTAGCTAATATAAACATTCATTATTTATAAGAATTTATTTTTAATTTACTCACAAATGATGTAATTTACGGCACTACGTTCCATGGTTGATATGTTTTTGGATCCGGTGTTGGAAACTGTAATAAAAATGTTTTGGTTACGTGACCAAAGTTAAAATAATTCATCATCAATGAATGAAAAAATGAGTTCTTGCCTTTTGTGTTATTCTATCCACGCAACTGGTTCTTATTCTGGCCGAGGTGGCTGGAGAATCAAATCTGAAATATCCTTCGATTCCCTCATCTTTTCTTGCAGAAGCAATAGCGTTTTTAATTGCAAAAAATACGGAAGATGCCAGGAAAAGAGGTGGTTCACCAACAGCCTGAAATAATTATATGCATTATATGCATTACTCGAGCATTGGACTACATTTAAAAAGTGTGCTTATAAAAGAGTTACCTTGGAAGAAAATACGGCTCTCGGATTAGGTGCCCCTCTAAGTAAGGAAACATTAAACTCTAATGGTATGTCTGCAAATCCTGGGATTTTATACATTCCCGGCCCTCTCGTGAAACTGGTACCCGTGGGAGAATAAATTAATTCTTCCAGAGTAAACAATCCCTGACCTTGAACAAAAGCTCCTTCAACTTGTCCGATATCAATGGCAGGATTTAAACTTTCTCCCAAATCCATTACAATGTCTGTTCTTAAAACCTATTTGAAAAATTCATAGTTATAATTAAAAGTACATTGGATTATATTTCGTTTAAGTAATAATCGTTACTGAACCTGATGATCTCCACTTAAACAATCAATTTCGACTGATGATGCTGCCACGCCATAGGTATAATAATTAAAAGCCCTTCCAGAATTTGTGTTGAAACTGTAACCTAACTCCGGAGTTCTGAAAATGGATTGTTAAAATAATATAAAAGTTTTATATAAAGGGAATTCACAGAAGATAAAAAAAAAAAATTACTTGTAATATCCTGTAGCGGAAAGTCCAATACGATTGTAATATGCTTTGCCAATGAGTTCTTTCCAGGATAGTCCAGGATTTGCTTCTTTCATCGGTTTCAGTCTTCTTATTATTTTATTACAAGCGTTCTGAAATATTTTCAATAAAACGTTATTAATATTAAAAACATTTTAAAGTGTATTATATAATTTAGAATATAAATTTACCAAAACTGCCATTCCGTTTAAATCAGAAGCGGCACTAGCAGCCGTAGGAGACGCGTTCGGGACTTTATCTGTTGCTGTTTCGCTTATGTATATCAAAGATGCATCTATACCGAGTGCTCTGCTAGCAACCTAAAAATATTGATCCCATATATTATTATTATTATTTCTTTTAAACCACCTTCATATTTAATTATACCTGGATCATTTTAGTATTTAATCCTTGTCCTATTTCTACACCACCGTGAGATAATAAAACGGAACCATCTTTATAAACGTGAACCAGTGCTCCTGCTTGATTAAGACTTACTTCAGTAAAAGCAATACCGAATTTCGTTGGTAAAATGCTAATCCCTCTTTTTTTGTAACGATGTTTTCTAGAATAAAATTCATATAATGTTATAATTTCAAAGATAAAGATTTATTAAATTCCATTCATTTTTTTTTTGTTCAATACTTGTTAAATTCTTCGATTTCTTTTAATCTTCTTTCGTAGTCGGAGCTTTTAAAACATTCTTCCCAACATCTTCTCGCAGTGCAATAATCGAGTAATTGATTATAATGAGTCACATCTCCTTCTCTGTATAAATTCAAATATCTGATCTGTGAAAGACAAAAAATGAATTAGATTTAAAATTCAAGTTATTATTATTGTCGTGAAAATGAATGTCTAACCTCGTGGTGAGGCATGTTTAAAACGCATGCCATTTCATCAATCATATGTTCTATAAAAATCATGCCCTGAGGTCCTCCAAATCCTCTAAAAGCAGTATTCGATGGTAAATTTGTTTTGCAAATGTATCCGTGAACTTCCATGTTGGGAACTTTATAAGTATTTTCGGCGTGAAACAAGGATCTATCCAAAACCTATGAAAAAAAAATTTTTTTGATTAATTTTTTCAGTTAAATTACTATATTAATTAATTAATTATTTTTTTTATTTAATTTATTATTAGTACAATAAAAACTTACTCCTGGTGTTAAATCCATACTGTATCCAGAATTACAATAAACGGTCATTTTAATAGCAATAATTTTTCCGTCTTTGTTAAATCCAAACTTATAACGAGCCAAAAATGGATGCCTTGTGCCACTCATGAGCATATCCTCGTCTCTATCAAGCATACAACGAACCGGTCGCCTCATTCTAAAATTAATATTTTGTTTTTTTGATTTATTAAGATCGATAATTTAAAATTTTCAAAAAAAATTCATTTTTTTTTAATCTAACCGATGTGCAATGAAAGCTAATGGCACTGCAACTACATTTGCTCGAGATTCTTTTCCTCCAAAACCTCCACCGATTCTTTTAACTCTTGTTCTTATTCTGTTGCAAGGAATATTCAGGACGTGTGCAGCCAATTTCTAATTTAAAAATTTATATATTAATACTTGTTTGGAATTAACAGTTATTAAAAATAGTAAATACCTGAATACCTGAATTTCGGCGGCATTTTGCGAAGAGCTAAAAATTTCAATTTCATCTTCTGTTGGTACGACAAGAGCGCAATGTGTTTCAAGGTAAAAGTGTTCTTGTCCTCCCATACGAATTTCACCTTCTCTTACAAAATCACAGGTTTTAAATGCATTTTCAGGATCACCCGATATAATTTTTTTCGGTTGACCAAAATATGAATTATGTTCGATAGCTTGCTAAAAATTAAATAAATTTTTTCATAAAAAAAAACCGTAAATAATTTAAGAATGATAATCTGAACAAAATGCAAATTTAAAAAGATGCGCTGATACATGTACGAAATAATAGAAAAAAGCTTATACCTCAATGGTAATTATTGCAGGGCTCAAATCTTCGTATTCAATTTTTACAAGTTTGGAAGCTCTTTGAGAAATCATTTGATTATCTGCAACAATGGCTCCAACAACTTGTCCTTGGCTGGTGACCTATTAAAATCAATTAAACAAACAATTAAATTTATTTTTTAAATTTTTTTCCCCTGAATTTTACTGCGTTAACACCTACCTCATCCGTATAAAAGACTTTTTCATCGTGAAAAATAGGACCCATCTCATTACTTCCTTCATCTAGATCGTTTGCACAGAAAAATGCATGAACTCCAGGCATGGCTAAAGCTTGACTCGTATCAATGTTTAATATTTTAGCATAAGGTCTCGTACTGAGGACAAAAGTGACATAAAGTTCATTTTCCACTCTTGGTATGTCATCACAATAAAGAGCTTCACCTAAATGTTTAAATTGCGATTTAATTAGGTATAAAACAGGTTTTTTAACGAATTTTAATTGTAACTCTTTTAACATATTGTTTCATACTCAAAAGCATACCTGTAGTTTGCTTAAACGCATTTACGTGAACTAAGGTTCGACCAACGGCATCAATCTTACTCTGAGTCTTCGGTACCTAAAAACAATTCAAATGAAATTTTTTTTTTGCTCTCTCACATATTTAAATTTATACAAAAAAAAGTATTCGTTCACAAACCACTTGAAAATATTGCGAGCTTTTTATGTCTTTCGAATGAAAACCTGATATTCCAGACAATAGTTTTTCGGGAACAGGTTTCACTTCTTTATATTTTTCACTTAGTTTATCTTGAACAAATAGATAAAATTTAAAAAACAAAGAAAGAGTTAGAGAGCGACGGTATGGTACATTTCCTCCCGGTGCATTTGGAGGCAACGGAAATTCTTCTACCAAAGAATTAAATGCATCTTCGACCATTTCATCATTCCATTCCCTAGGAAAAAAAAATATTATAGTTTAATAATTAAATTATATTTACTATTGTTAATCGCTTACTGAATATTTTACCTTCCGATCATTTTTTCTCTCGTTTTCATTGCTCTAGTCGTGCAGGGGGATACACCACCGTAAGCAATTAATAGATTTTTAATTATATGAGTGCCAGGTTCGAATTCCACGTTTGCTGCACAATTGACAATAGCAATATCATCATCTCTTCTTTTAGCTTGTTTGTAAGCATTAAAATATTGATTCTTAAAAAAAAAAAAAAAAAGGAAATTTATTTAATGTAAATAACGTTTTATGTAAATTTACAACACTTTAAAAAAATTACCTCGTGCGAATAGGGGAATAAAATAGCAGTGAGAACTTCTTCTGGTTTGACAACATTTCTTCTGTATCCCGTGAAAAACGTATGATCCATTTTTATTATTCTTGTAGAATCTATGCTTGTTAAATAAAGATTCACATCAGCAGCCATCAAAACGGGATTCATATCAGAAATTGGACTTCCTGTCATAAGATTTCCTCCTATCGCCTAATATAAATTATATTTTTACATACATAAATATTTGTAAATAAAAACTTTACTTCAAATTTGAGACAAAAATTTATCTTTCTTTTCAAATACTACACTTAAAAAATAATTAAAATCCTTTACCGAAACATTCCTAATTTGCTTTCCGGCGAACCAATGGAAAATATGGGTTGCAGCTTTAAAAATTCTAGTTTTATACTCTAAAATAAAAAATTAAATTTTAGCAAAAGATTTTTAAAAAAAAAGTAAGTCAAATAAAAAAAAAAGTACCTGGTTGAGTTGCAATTTCATGTTTTAAAACATCATTGATTTCGTTTAAGGTTACTGCAGCTCCAAATTTTATACCTTCTTCCAAGAAAACGATTTCCGTCATTTCCTTAACGTAAATGGGATTTATCAAAACAGGATATAAAAAATTTTTGAATTTCACTTCAACCCCTTAAATGAAAAAAAGAAAAAAAAACTTAATCGGTAATAAAGGATCAAAATTGTATTAATAAAAGGTTAGTTAAATATATATATGTACATACCAACTTCTGTGTTTCCATTAATAATTTTTGCGTTGGGAAATTTACTTTTCAACAGTAAAACATCCTTGAATGATGTTGGTCGAAACCATGTCGCACGAGGTCCTTTTATAACCAGAGTTTGTTCATCAAGAGTTGAATCTAACTGTATTTATTTAAATCATATATTAGAGTGATCAAAGTAAAAGGTTTTTTTTTTTTTTTTTTCAAAAAGTAATAATATTGATTTACCATAAGTTCAGGTGGAAAAATAGCCTCCTGAGATGGATGATAAGGAGCAAATTCATTGTAGTTGAATAAAATTTCTTCTGGATCCCTGTAAATGTTATTTCCCTTAAATTTGCAGCAATTTTTTCCCATGGCACAATTAGTTACTGGAAAACCTGTTTTAGAATTCATCATGGTTTCGTCCAGATCATTGTTTTTAATTTCATTATTGGTAATTTTAAGTTGACCGTTGGTTAATCCATTTACGTGACCGTTAACTTTTCCATTGACATATTCATTCACAGTTTCGCTTGCTTTTCCGTTAATATGTTCATGGACAAAACCGTTTGTTTTTCCATTTGCATGTCCATTGACAGTCCCATTCATTTTTTCACTGGTATGTTCATTTGCGTGACCGTTGACTTTTCCGTTTGCATATCCATTAACTCTTCCGTTTACTTTTCCGTTGGCATGTCCATTGACAGTCCCATTCTCATGTCCATTGACTTTCCCATTCTCATGTCCATTGACTTTCCCATTCTCATGTCCATTGACATTCCCATTCGCATGTCCATTGGTGTACCCATTGACAGTTCCGTTCACTTTTCCATTAGTGAGTTCATCGACAAAACCGTTTGATTTTCCGTTTACATGCTCATTGGTGTGTTTACTGTCAGTTCCGTTGGCATACCCGTTACCAGTACCATTTGATATTCCATTGACAGTTTTTTTAGCTTCTCCGTTGGCATTTCCATTAATGTAATCGTGGCCTTTTTCGTTCCTTTGCCCATTAATGTGACCATTTTCTTTTCCATGGGTGTGACTATTTTCTTTCTCATTAGTATTTCCATTCAATTTATTTTTCGCGTCTTCATTTTTTTTTACATCAATTGTGGTTTCTTCATTAGTTTTTCCATTGAGGAGTTTATTGGTGCGGTCCTTCTTTATAGTTTTCGGTTTTGATTTATTCTCAATTATTTCATCTCGTTCCTCAGGAGTATCATTTTTAACTCCATTTGAAAAATTTTTCTGACTGGAGTTGTTCGTATTCTTGTCATTGATATCATTTCGATTCTTATCATTAACATCCTTGTTCTTTTCATTCATGTTTTCTTCATTATTTGCGTGGTTGTTAGTAGAATGAGTTTCTTTTGAATTTGTACATAAATTTTTGTTTTTAATTTCATCAGCATCGGTTACATCATCTTTTTTAATGAAACCATCTTTGTTGTTCGTTTTATTCTTAATTTCTTCTTCCTTGTTAAACATGTTCCAACGCATTCCCTTAGCCATTTGTTCTTGTTCCCATTCCTCAGTAAACGTTCTCAAACCTTCTATAATTGGTCGGTAGCCAGTGCATCGACACAAATTTCCTGTAAAAGAATTTTTTCGCATTATTTACATGAAAAACTTTAATTAAAACGAAAATTATTTAAACGAAATGGCAATAATTTTATATTTCAATCATCACCTTGAAAAGCAATTTCCATGTCCAGCAATTTAGGCTTAGGATTTTGTCTCAGCAAAGCATACATTGACATAACTATTCCAGGAGTGCAAAATCCACATTGGGAACCATGAGCTTTAGCTAATCTTTCTTGAATGGGATGCAATTTTGTTCTTGTACTCCCTATACCTTCTACAGTAGTAACGGCACATCCGTGAACCGAACATATTGGAGCTAGGCAAGCGTTGACAGCCAAGTGACTAGAATGCAACTTAAGGAAAGTAAATTTAATAATGCATAAAAATAATTTATGAAAAATAAATAAATTAAAAAAGGATACATTATTTTCTTTTTCTTTCTGTTGTACCGTGATACCATAACGGTACAGGCTCCACATCCTCCCTCAGCACATCCAAGTTTTGTTCCACATAATCTTACTGTTTTCAAGAGTTAAAGAATAACAATGTACTTTTATAATAATTATAAATTTCTTTTTTTTTTTAAAAGTTATTTTGCATTTTCATCAAGGCACATTCTTATTTATTTAAGTTAATTATTAAAAATCATATTACATATGTGCTAATAACATAAACTTTTTATTCAGTGCTGATAAAAAAAAAAAAAAATGGAAATAAATGCAAAGTGTACAAAAATAATAGAAAAGGATACATTTATTTCTCAAATAGTACAACAGTGTCCATTCAGGATCCACATCATTGTCGATGACCTGTAACATAAAACCCATTATAATATAAACTTTGACATTTAAGTAGATTTAACATGAAGAAAAATACAAAAATAATAATAATAATAATAAAGATGTAAAATTTATCTTGTGTGCGTATTTAAAAAAAAAAAAAAAAAAAAAAAAAACACGGAAAATTTTGATTATTGAGATGGATCAAAGATATAAAAATTCTATATAATCAATAAATTTATATCAGTTATTATGAATTTTATATATATATATATGAATTTTTTAATAAACTTATGTATATATATATGATGATAATGATGAATAAATTTTTAATTGATTAAATATTGTAATAAAAATTCTCATCCAAGTTGATCTCTGTAAGTAATTGAAAGTTCAGGGTCAAAAAATATTTTTTTTTTTTTTTTTATTAAATATATAAAAAAAAAACAATTAAGATAATTTTCTTTGGACAAATATTCCTTATCCTGGCATTTTAATAAAAAAAAAAAAAAATTTTATATAATTTTTAAACGTTGTAATTATTTTAATTAAGTTTCATACGTAACTGTATTTTTCCAAGATGGTCCAGATTTTTATTATTATCAATTATTTTACGTAATTATAAAATACAGATATGATTTTTCGTGTTGATTTTCACACGTTTTTAAAGGTTATCTTTTTCGTTCATACGTAATTTATTTATTAATTTTTTTGCACCATTTATCTAAATTAAAATAATAACTCGAATGCAAAATTCGTTCATCAGATTCTGAACAGATGAGATTTGTAAAGTATTCCATGCCTTAAATTTAAGTATTTAGTGTGTGGCTTTACATAAAATTATCATTTTTTAGCCATTTATAAAAATTTTTACAATTTTCAAAACCTTATGTTACAGTTAAAATGTTCTGCTTTTGTTAAACCTTTCTAAAAAATTAATTTGTACCACAATAACTGTCAAAAATTTTATTATTATTTTATAAGATAAATTTAAAATTTTTGTTATTTTTTAAAAGTGGAAAACTTTAAAGTTTTTAGTCAAGTTTTAATAAAATGTTGTTATTATGAAATTATTTATAAGTTAAAACAAACACAAATTAATAATAATGTAAACAAGTTATTTACAGATAAAAATTTTCTGATGACTTGAACATCAAAAAAATTTTTATTAGGCTCACGTCGCATATATAAAATGTATTATTATTATTATTATTATCATTCATTGTAACTTGACTGCCCTTTAAATTGAAAATTGTATTGATTATATAGACACTATAATAAAATTAAATCTTTTTCTAGACAAGTTCTTCATACTTATATATGATTTAAAATTTTCAGCAGATTTTGTTTTGTCTTTGGTCCCTCACTCAAGTCTTTGTTTTTATTATCAGGCAAAACAAAGTTTTATCAATGAGCCCCCAGTTTTTTATGAAACTAGAGGAATTGTCACAAAGAATAAATTTTGGAACTCAAACAAAAGAATAAAGCTTACAAAAATACAATCTTAATAAAAAAAAAAGAAAATATTTAACAAGTTTAAAATAGTATCAATTCTTGTTTAAAAAAATTTTAAAAGCCATTTTTGTTAAATATTTTTTTTTTTTTTGTTCACAATCAATAAAGTTCATTTCGGTCAATATTTTTATTATACTTAAAAGTCAATAGTTAATAATTATAATAAAATATTTTAATACTTAAAAAAAAATCAATAGCCTTCGAATACAAGGCACTAATTAAAATTTGTCGCAGTTTCTGTACAACTGCAAAATCACACAACAATTGATTGGTTATTGATTTTCTCCAATTAAAATTTTTTTTATTACGATCTACATTGACAACTAATAACCTTATGTAATAAAAAAAAGGTTACAATTAATTATTTTTATTATTAAATCTCGAGTCGTTTGTTTTTCACGCCTTATAAAAATTTTTTTTTTTTTCATAAAGTTATCATTATTATTACTTTCTACGTCATTTATACGTTTTAAAATATAACGAACATAATAATAATAATATTTTTTACGCAATAAAATTTTAAAAAAATTATGTTTTGATAAAAAGACAACATAATATTATTATTAAAAGGAAAACGCCAATCAAAAAATTGTTACATAACACATATATAAAGGGGTGATGGTGATAGTAGATGATAATGATAAAATATTTTTATAAAAAAAATTAATAACTATTAATATTTTTTTCTTCTCACACATATATGTAAATCATTGAAATTTATTTATTCCCATATTTTAATAAATAAATAAATTTTTGTTCTTTCAAATCTTAAAGAGGTTAATTATGGACACCATGAAACACAATTTCATTTTTTCCACATCTATTAATAATTTAAAATAATAATAATAATTATTTATGTTAATCTTTCTCTTCTCATACTTTAATAATTAAAGAAATTATTTATTGAAACATATAATAATGATTTTTTTTACTATTAAAGTTTCTCTCAATCAAATAATAAGTATTGTTTAAATAAAAGAAATTAAAATGAATGAAATTATTATTACAATTAAGCAAAATTTATTAATAATAATGATAATTTCTTATTAAATTTTAGGTTTGATTATTAACAAAGAGATAAATTAGTTTAGTTAATGTAACTAAATTAGTTATTTAAAATATTTCATATTATCTCTCTCTCTCTCCCCTTTTTCCCATTAACAAAAAATATCAATGTTGATTCCCTTTCTAATATTGTTTCCACCATATTTTAAAATTTAATAAAAATAATAATAATGAAACTAAATAAATACAAAATAAAACAAACAAATTTTTGAAACAAGATAATAATAATAATAATAATAAATTTTATATTGAAATATATAAATGAAGTTAATTGTTCTGATGTTCTGAAACAAATAAAATGATTTTCTGTCCGTTGCATGTTTTTATTTGTTTTTTCTTATCAATCCATTAAAAAATATTTTTAATATTATTGGTTTGTTAATATTTTTTTTGTTTATTGCTGACAAAATTTCAATGTTTTAAAAAAACAATTTCACATAAAAAATTTAACGTTTTATTTTTTTTTTATTAAATAAATAATATGTGGAATAACTTATTAATTTATTTTAGTTTTTTCTAAACCATTGAATGCTATTACTTGCATGCAACGGTTTAAAACAGATACAAATCCAAATACATAATAATAATAATTCATTAAACTTTGAGGAGACCAAAAAAAAAAAAAAAAAAAATTCATGTTAACAAAAAACCAAAATGGCTGACAAAAATTTGAAATTTCAATTTTATTTTTTGATAATTATTCACAGTGCTCAAATTCAATTGATAAAAAGTTTACTTTTATACATTTCAATAAGTTTAAATAAGTTTTTTTTTGGTAAAAATAAGTTTTGATTTGTCAAATTATGTTAACAATTGAAAATGTTGAATTTTTTCATTTGAAAACATTTCATGGTACCAACCAATATTAATAATATAATATAATTGTATGTGAATAATAATATAATGTTTGATGAATATGCCTTCTAATAAATTACTTAAAACTATTGCATAAAAATAATAATAATAATAATAATGAATTTTGACATTTTCAATGTGCATGATATTGGCATTTTTCCTTTTTTTAAATAAAATTATTTAAAACTTACCCTTTTACGTTTAACCCGTTTTAAAAGTTTTCCTCCGTCATTCCAATTTAAGAAAAATAATAAAAGTTTTCCTAATTTTCACATAATTAACATTTTTTTCCCTATAAAACGCACAAGCATTTTATTAAGACTTATGAAAGCATAAAAAATCTAAATAGAATTTACAAGGCGGTTTTTACTTACGAGAATCGTTCGATACTCGAATAACCGGTAATCGTTTCTTGTTGATGACGTCACAACTCAACATCTAGAAAACAAATCTAAATCTTAACGTTCAATTGTTACACTACCTTAGATGAGTTTAAGTGTTTTAAACGTTTAATTAAATACATTTAAAAATTTAAATTTGATTTCAAATCAAATATAAAAAGGTAATAAAACGTTTTATTTTTTATTTTTTATTTTATTATTAATAAATTCACGAATAGATTTATTTTTTTATTTTTTAAAAAAAAAAAAAAAAAGAAAAGTTCTCATTTTCTGTGAGTCGATTTTTAAAAATTGTAAGTACATGTTACCCTCAAGTTTATTCCAGAGGGAAATTTGTTTATAATTTTTTTGTTTAAACTTTTTAATGTTATTTATATATATTTTTTAATGAAAACAATTATTAAATTAAGTTACAAAAACTTATTATTATTGGAATAATTTAATTACAATCTCTATTAGTGAAATTATTCATTCATTTATATAACTTGGGAAAAAAATTAGTGCATGAAAAATTTATGTAAATAAAAT